TGGACTTGCTTTTAAGCTCTGACATAGACTCTTCCCGATGTTATGATAAATTGCAATTGCTCCAATGACTGAGGTTATGATTTGTTAGTGCCCAATAAGGTTTTTGATTCATACTTTTGCATTGTGAAAAGATCATCACTTCAACATAAGTAATCATATGATAAATCTATATATGTTGCTGTTATGAGAGTAATCATGATGCCTTCATGTCCGTATTTTATTTTTATCGACGCCTCTACCTCTAAACATGAGGACATATTTATTGTTATCGGCTTTTCGCTTGAGGACAAGCGAGGTCTAAGCTTGGGGGAGTTGATACGTCCATTTTGCATCATGCTTGTATGTTAATATTTATTGCATTATGGGCTGTTATTTCACGTTATGTCACAATACTTATGGCTATTCTCTCTTATTTTACAAGGTTTACCATGAAGAGGGGGAATGCCGGCAGCTGGAATTCTGGCTGGAAAAGGAGCAAATATTGAAGACCTATTCTGCACAACTCCAAAAGTCCTGAAACTCCACGGAATATCTTAAAATAAATAAAGAAAAATCGTCACCAAAGATGAAGGCCAGGGGGCCCACACCCTGCTCACGAGGGTGGGGGCGCGCCCCTCCCCCCTGGGCGCGCCCCCCTACCTCGCGGGCCCCCTGGTGGCTCTCCGACGCCCATCTTCTCCTATATGAAGTCTTTCGATGAGAAAAAAATCATAAGCAACCTTTCAGGACGAGACTCCGCCGCCACGAGGCGGAACCTTGGCAGAACCAATCTAGGGCTCTGGCGGAGCTACTTTGCCGGGGACACTTCCCTCCGGGAGGGGGAAATCATCGCCATCATCATCATCACCAACGCTCCTCTCATCGGGAGAGGGCAATCTCCATCAACATCTTCACCAGCACCATCTCATCTCCAAACCCTAGTTCATCTCTTGTATCCAATTCTTGTCTCTAAGTCCGGGATTGGTGCTAGTAGGTTGCTAGTAGTGTTGATTACTCCTTGTAGTTGATGCTAGTTGGTTTACTTGGTGGAAGATCATATGTTCAGATCCTTTATGCATATTATTACCCCTCTGATTTTGAACATGAATATGCTTTGTGAGTAGTTACGTTTGTTCCTGAGGACAAGGGAGAAGTCTTGCTATTAGTAGTCATGTGAATTTGGTATTCGTTCGATATTTTGATGAGATGTATGTTGTCTAACCTCTAGTGGTGTTATGTGAACGTCGACTACATAACACTTCACCATTATTTGGGCCTAGAGGAAGGCATTGGGAAGTAATAAGTAGATGATGGGTTGCTAGTGTGACAGAAGTTTAAACCCTAGTTTATGCATTGCTTCGTAAGGGGCTGATTTGGATCCATATGTTTCATGCTATGGTTAGATTTACCTTAATACTTTTGTTGTAGTTGCGGATGCTTGTAATAGAGGTTAATCATAAGTGGGATGCTTGTTCAAGTAAGAACAGCACCCAAGCACCGGTCCACCCACATATCAAATTATCAAAGTACCGAACGCGAATCATATGAGCGTGATGAAAACTAGCTTGACGATATTCCCATGTGTCCTCGGGAGCATTTTTCCTATTATAAGAGTTTGTTCCGGCTTGTCCTTTGCTACAAAAAGGATTGGGCCACCTTGCTGCACCTTATTTACTTTTGTTACTTGTTGCTCGTTACAATTTATCTTATCACAAAACTATCTGTTACCATTTATTTCAGTACTTGCAGAGAATACCTTGCTGAAAACTGCTTATCATTTCCTTCTGCTCCTCGTTGGGTTCGACACTCTTACTTATCGAAAGGACTACGATAGATCCCCTATACTTGTGGGTCATCAAGGACATGTACGATAATGTTGTGACAAGTGTTCGAACAAGTGATGTCGACACCGATGACTTCCCGATTAAAATAGGACTGCATCAGGGGTCAGCTTTGAGCCCTTATCTTTTTGCATTGGTGATGGATGAGGTCACAAGGGATATACAAGGAGATATCCCATGGTGTATGCTCTTTGCGGATGATGTGGTGCTAGTTGACGATAGTCGGACGGGGGTAAATAGGAAGTTAGAGTTATGGAGACAAACCTTGGAATCGAAAGGGTTTAGTCTTAGTAGAACTAAAACCGAGTACATGATGTGCGGTTTCAGTACTACTAGGTGTGAGGAGGAGGAGGTTAGCCTTGATGGCCAGGTAGTACCTCGGAAGGACACCTTTCGATATTTGGGGTCAATGTTGCAGGAGGATGGGGGTATTGATGAAGATGTGAACCATCGAATCAAAGCCAGATGGATGAAATGGCGCCAAGCTTCTGGCATTCTCTGTGACAAGAGAGTGCCACAAAAGCTAAAAGGCAAGTTCTACAGGACGGCGGTTCGACCCACAATGTTGTATGGCGCGGAGTGTTGGCCGACTAAAAGGCGACATGTTCAACAGTTAGGTGTGGCGGAGATGCATATGTTGAGGTGGATGTGTGGCCACACGAGGAAGGATCGAGTTTGGAATGATGATATACGAGATAGAGTTGGGGTAGCACCAATTGAGGAGAAGCTTGTCCAACATCGCCTGAGATGGTTTGGGCATATTCAGCGCATGCCTCCAGAAGCTCCAGTGCATAGCGGACAGCTAAAGCGTGCGGAGAATGTCAAGAGAGGGCGGGGTAGACCGAATTTGACATGGGAGGAGTCCGTTAAGAGAGACCTGAAGGATTGGAGTATCACCAAAGAGCTAGCTATGGACAGGGGTGCGTGGAACCTTGCTATCCATGTGCCAGAGTCATGAGTTGGTTGCGAGATCTTATGGGTTTCACCTCTAGCCTACCCCAACTTGTTTGGGACTAAAGGCTTTGTTGTTGTTGTTGTTGTTGTTGTATCTCTTGTTGCAAAGCAGACATTTAACAATAATATATATATATATATATATATATATATATATATATATATATATATATATATATATATATATATAAAGAACAACACAAATAGCACACACGTCCTAGACCCGGGTACACATGAACCTGCTTTTTAAAATGCATATTGAATGCGTTTTAAAATGTCAAAAAGTTCAAAACAAAATTTGATGAAGTTTGGACATTCAAAGAGCGCGGGGTAAAAAGACAAAATCAGGCATAAACAGTAATGTTTTCAAATGTTTCTCATAGACCCGAATTTTATTTTCTTTGGCACGAGCTCCTCTAAATTCTGCATGAAGATCACACATTTAAGCATCTTGCATAAAAAAAGGAATTTTTATTGATTTTTTGTTTTTATTTATCATGATTTTACTATTCACGCCCAGGCACCAAAACGCCGCTCCCATCTATCACATACTAGTATGACTTCCTCACTATTTCCACGTGTTCTCAACATGCTCCAAACCTCTCACATGCTTGCAGAGGTACCAATATTTTATCAAAACCAAAATGTTTAGAGGACATACAACCTCGCACGCATGAGTTATGGAAGAATAATCACTATGATTGGTTTTATCGGAAACTAGATTTTTTACTAAACTTTATACAAAAAGCAAAAATTCACAAAGTACCCAAAGGTTCAACAACAAGGAAAAGCAAAGTCTTTTTGGGCCACAACACAAGAAAGCCCTAAAACTGGAAATAGAAGGATACAACCACAATCATGGCCACAGGAAGGGGATCCTAGACACATGACCACTCTATGTAGACCATCCGTCAAGGGGACCCTAGACACATGTCCTATGGTTTATTAGAACATAAAAGTGTGTGTTCCTGCACTCGTGCATCTAAACGAAAGAACGATACAAATATTTAACAAAATACAATGAATAATATATTACTCCCTCTGTAAACTTTTTTGATGAAAGGCACTTTTATTATCTTAAAATGTAGCATCAAGCGGATACAAAATATTATGAGAATACCCCAGTCTCTGCATAAATAGGATACACACAGCCAAACGACAAATATGGGAGGAGATGCCAAGAACGAGGCGGCTTGGAACGGACTGGCGGCTTCGGCTGAGGCGTTGTTCATCATCTCCTTCCTCTGATCCCCCTTTCTCTTAAGATTCCTCTGTATTTCGAAGTTGTAATCAGTGAATGAATGATGAATCGAGAGGAATAGTAGTGTGATCCTAACAGCAAAGCTTCAGCCTTCTTTGGCTTTGCTTTTTGCCGGTGTGATCCTTTGTGTGTGTGTGTGTCGGTGCTGGTTGTATGCATCTTAGTTATTCACAGGGCGGGTGTTTATTCATTGTGTTTTGTATTTCCTTAATGTTTCACTCTATTTTTTAATTTTTTTTTGAGGAATGCTTTGAGTTAGTAAAAAGGCGCCCTTTGTATCGGGAAAAAAAACGCTGGTTCCAATTTCAGTGGAAATGGAACGTGGATGAAAGCCCTTCTGATCTCTTGTCTTGAAGCGCTAGCATGACCCATACTCTACTCAGCTCTTCCTCTATCTTCTAGATGGGATTTTTTTTTAAAAGGCAAGCACCAGTTGTCACGTCTCATCCCATCCATCAGTTAGGTCTGGCATTATTCTGGGAGAGGAGTATGTACGCACGCAGCAATGATACAAGGCATCACATCGTCCCTGATGGCCTGATCCATTCGCTCGCATATGTAGGCATTGACGTGATTGATGAACTTCCGTGGTCCGTCGATGGAGCAAGAGACGTGCACTTTACACGTTGTGACGGGCGGCGAACGCATGCAGACAAGCTTCGATTTGTTGGTGCCACTAGTGCGTGTCTTGCCTTTTTTTTTTCCTGTTTTGCTAGTGTACATTGTGTACATGTCACACAATCAAGTGCGTTCAGAATGTATGTGATTGTGTCTACGTGCCCAACTCCTAATCGATCGCTGGTAGTGAGTGAAGCAGTGATTGGTCTCCATCAGCGAGCATAAAAGCTGCACCCACTGAGTTGGTTCTCCAGAAGCAGCGCACACAAACACACCCAAGAAACACCTGAGGGACTGTGCAGCTCTGCTATCAAGTGCGCGATGGCACCTCCTCCCACGAGAACGAGATGAGCAGGTCCGTCGCCATTAGTTCATCCGACATGAATCAGTTCCTTCCTCGGCACCTTATTGTGAATTAACGTACTCGGTCCTTCGATTTGGTTTGATTGGATTTCGAAGTGCAGGTCGGAGTCGGCGCCGGGGGCAGCACCGGCCGTGGTGGTGAAGACGGTGGACCTGCAAACGGCGGCGACACCGGACGTGGGGGCAACGACGGTGGACGTGCAGACGACGGTGGCACCGGACGTGGGGGTGACGACGGTGGACGTGCAAATGGCGGCGGCACGGGCCGTGGCGGTGACGACGGTGGACGTGCAGACGGCGGCGAGGGAGCTCCAGGAGCAGCAGGACGGCATGATGTACCTGGACGTGAGGACGGAGGAGGAGATGGGGAAGGGCCACATCCGCGGCTCCCTCAACGTCCCCTACTTCTTCGTCACGCCACAAGGCATGCCGCGCTAACTAATCTCCTCTTCTATTGATCCTTACACCGCCGCCATCATAGATTCAGCTCTGTCCTTAGGCACCAATTAACCTCCGTCTATATGCAAACCATGCATGTATGTGGACGTTTATCCGTCCATGTGCAACCTTTCGCTAGCCGCTAAAGATGAATGTGTTACTTTAATTATTTGCAAAAAAATGAATGGATTAGTTTAATTAGATGAACTGATTTGGTGGGTGGCTGTCTGTGAGCAGGGACCCGGGAGAAGAACCCACGGTTCGTGGAGCAGGTCGCCTCGCTCTTCAGCACAGACCAACACATACTCGTCGTACGTCCTTCCATGTAGCTGTACATTTTTTTAGAGAAAAGGCTAAGGCCCGACTTTATAGATAAAGCCACCAGGCAGCGTCACGGATACCATAGGTTCACAGGAAAACATAACCACACAGAGGAGTTTAAGAGAAACCTAAGCAAGCATGATACAGGCAACTGCCATGCACAGCGCACAGGCCGGGGAGGAGAAAGACCAAATGTCCGCAAACGACAGCACCAAATTATACGGCAGGGTTCGTCCCGGATATCTGAGAAATCGAAGCCCGAATTTTGTTGATGAGCAGGTCCAGGGCATCCCGATCAGGCTCCTTAGTCAATGATCTCCACTGCTGCAAGAATATACATGATTTGAATAGAACATCATCAGGTTTAGATGGGAAGGTAGCTGTACATACTCCGCCCATCCCGGAAAGCTCGTCTATTTATCTAGATACAGATGAATTTAAACATATATTGGTGTTAAATACACCCGCATCTAGATAAATTTGAGACAAATTTTTCAGGACGATGGTAATATATTTTGTCTGAATTTCCTTTAGTTGTACTACTATACTACTACCACTAATCATCCATGGATGGAGGAGCAGGGGTGTCAGAGCGGCAAGAGGTCCGAGCTTGCCTGCATCGATCTTCTAGCAGCTGTAAGTACAAGTAAAATGAAATTGTTTTGACGATCAATTTATCTTTCCTAGCCGTATAAAAAAACATACGGGGTCATATTATGCATATGGTATGCAGGGATTCATGAATGTGAAGAACGTGGGAGGAGGCTACGCTGCATGGCTGCACAACGGACTCCCAGTGACAGTAGCAGTCCCCACGCCGCCACCAACACCTGAATCTGCTGCAGCAATCTGAAACAACTACGTACATTAGTACGTAGTACTATCTGCATCTATCAATTCTTGAGCCACCGGTGCTTTGTTGTGCTCTGCCTGTGTAATGCATCTATGAATGTAAGTCCAAGTGAATGGATGAACGGCTGTAATAATAAAACACATCAGTGTGCCTGCCACAGTAAGCGGCTCATGCTAGACAGCAGCATGACTTCTACTCCCTCCGTTCCATAATATAAGACGTTTTTTTATAGTAATGTAGTATAAAAAAGGTCTTACATTATGGGGCAGAGAGAGTATAAGTCTTTGTAGACATTATCATGGACCACACACGGATGTATATAGATGTATTTCAGAGTGTAGATTTACTCATTTTGCTCCGTATATAATTCATAGTGGAATGTCTACAAAGACTTATATTTAAGAACGGAGGGAGTACTACGCACAAGAATTATGTTCTCATCCGTCGATTTGGTCCAATCTCACATGCATATATATCAGGTGGTTTCTCAACAACAAAAAGTATGAAAACGCAGGTCATGTAGAAATAATAGCTTCAAATAATCTGGCGCGGACTTGCATCCGGAAACGCATTTGATCTGATGCTGATATTCCGAGGGAACATGGCGTGGATCCGCTCGTGTACCACGTCGTTCACGGAAGAAGGGGAGTGCAACATGTTGATTTCCACACTTTTCAGCTTTGGCATGCTCCATATATTGTTGGATATCAGCTGCTTTAGGAATTCCACCAATACATCTTCTGACCCTTTCATATAATCAATCTCTATCTCTTCAAGTGAATCAAGGATGGTGTTGTCCGTCACGGAACGCATTGGCGATCCATAAATCTGGAGAATAAATAATAATTCTAGTATTAGAGAGGAGTATATATTATGAGCTGTTTTACGGTGATTGGGTTAGTACTCGGAGTACTTAGCAGTACTTACATGTCTGATCACGTTTGATTTTTATTAGCCGTCAGATCTTGCGGGGAATTTTAATTGATTAAATTTAATATGTTAATTGCGATAAGGGCATAATGGTCCAAGGGGAAATATCTTTTCTTGAACCGATCACCTGAGGACCAGATCCATGTCTACTCGATCCAGTTCAGAATCCTCCTCCGATCTATTCGTCGCCGCTCGCCGCTCCTGACCTTCTCCGTCCTCGACCTGCCCGGCGAGAGGAATAAATTCATCGTCCTCGTCCTCCACCCAACCAACCCCAGCCCCCCACGCCGTCACCGAAGAAGAAGAAGGCCGGATTTGCGCCGGCTGAATCGGCGGCGACCGCGGCGGGCGATCCCATCTCTTCGCGCGTACCATCCTTAAGGTATGAATTCGGCTTGGCGTTCTGCTCGTTCTCTTGGCCGTTGCGCCCCTCCACCGTGCATGCAGTACAACCTCAACCCCACAAGATCCGGGTACGGACTAGAACAATGAATGGAAAGCTTCATCCTGGCATAGTTTCTCTTGAGCTAATCGCATCATGTTTGTTTAAGTAAGATGTTGAGGGCATTGCTTACTTCCTTGACGTTTGAGATGAGATATACTAAGGGAAGATGAGATACTGGTTTCATAGTTCACTTAATTTAGTTTATTAAAGTCATCATCACTTTAGGTTTGCATAGCGCATGAAATATAGTTTAAAGGAAGATGAGATACTACTTGTTGGACGTTGATGATTGGTTTCCCTCACATGTCAAACCAACAAAGTCTTTTCCATGCACTTGTCTTTGCCTATGAGCTATTTTACACCTGCAACATTGATAAACAGAAAGATGTTGATGATTGGTTTCCCTCACATGTCATATGCAGGAAGACATGGCATATGCAAGTGATGAGAGTATGTTCGAGTATCTAAATGTTGTCAGCAAGATGTTTGATAGTGAGGCTGAAGGCTATGAATTCTACAACAAATATGCTCTTGAAAAAGGTTTTAGTGTGAGGAAAAGCTACGTTGAGTGGGATGGATCCAACAAATACATAATTTTAAGGAAAATTGTGTGTAGTTGTCAAGGGTTTCGCGAAGAGAAGCACATGAAAAGAAAGATGGAAGATAGAAAGAGGAGGCCACGAAGTTTAACTTGTGTTGGGTGTAATGCTAAATTGGTCATTACGAGACAGGAGGAAACCGGTTGGTGGTTTGTCAAGGATTTCATCGATGAGCACAGCCATCCTCTAGCCCCACGGGATCTTTCTTGTCTGCTGCGTTCGCATAGACGAATTAGCGATGAGCAGAAAGCGGACATTGCGGACATGGAAAAATGTGGGATCCGCAAATACCGTATTATGGATATTTTGTGCTTTCAATATGGTGGATTTGATAAGGTTGGATGCATAAAGAGGGCCATTTATAATTTCTGCCATGCTAATAAGCAGGAGACAATCAGTGCCGGTGATGCTAATACGGTGATCATGCACATGATGGCGAGGCGAGAGCGAGATGTGGATTTTTTCTTCAAGTACTTGGTAGACGAGCATGGCCATCTGAAGGGACTGTTCTGGGCTGATAGTCAATCGCGACTTGACTATGAGGCTTTCGGAGACGTCATTGTTTTCGATAGCACATACAGAACCAACAAATACAATCTGCCATTTGTGCCGTTTGTCGGGTTGAATCACCACCGCAGCACTGTTATATTTGGCTGTGGTATAATTTCTCATGAAACAAGCCAGGCATACGAGTGGATGTTGCGGACCTTTTCTGATTGCATGGTACAGAAGCATCTGATATCTGTGATCACAGATGGGGATGTGCAAGGATCATGTGGATTGGGAGCTGCTGAATCTAGCCCTGCGGATCTACTTCGAAGGAGATTTCTCGGAGAAGCACAGGATGCCCCACCCCAGTGAGCCGCCGACTGCATTCGTTCGATGGGCGAAAGGAGAAGTGAATTCAGGAGATCCATGCTGTGCTGCGAGATGGGAATGCTTGACTGGACTCCTGCGCACCAGCACGCCACCGGAGCGGGACCAGGTGGATCCCCTACCTTACCTCTCCCCCAAACCTATAGAAGATTGAAATTAGGCTTGCAATCTGCTTCAATTGAGCTGTCTGGTGGTTATTTCTGCTTCCTGAGAGACAACATCTGGCTGAAGGATGAGAAGGAACCAGGAACTCCGATGAATTTCCCCTATCACAATGGGGGGGAGCGCCGGTTGGGCAATGGTACGGCCCACCTCTGCCCCAAATGGGGGCACAACCTGGGCAGGCTCCTATAATTGCCCAAGATCAATCTGCTAGTGGTTCTGACTCTCAGATCAGTGGGAAATCTCAAGGCAAGAATCAGCAAAAGAAGAGATAGGACATCCAAAAAACTGCTCCTGCCCTTGCTTCGGGCCTTATGGCATACTCTGAGGTGATCTGCTACAACTGTGGGGAACCAGGGCATCATTTGAATAAATGTGTCAAGCCCAAGAGTTGTTTTATCTACAAAATGGTTATCCATAAAGTTGAGAATTGCGCTGTCAGAAGGAAAACCCACAGTTCTGCTAGATATGTTGGAAGTGCTGCTTCAGGATTATGTCCATCATTGACAGAATTTTCTGTGACACAAAATTAGATAGTTTCTTTCCCTTTTCTAGTTGTAGAGCTCTGCCCAGATGTGGTAGTGACCACACTCCTTTGCTCTGGGACTCTGATCTTAACCAAAATCCAAAGAGTAATAGTTTTAAATTTGAAAAGTGGTGGTTGCTTAGAGAAGATTTTACTGAGCTAGTCAGAAAAATCTGGAATGAGCCTATTGGGAGCAGCTATCCCCTAAAAAATTGGCAGATCAAAATCAGGAGATTTAGAAGAACTACCAAAGGGTGGAACTCCAATGAGTAAGCTAATCTTAGAAGATACACAAGGCTTCTCCTCCTTGAGTTTGATTCTCTAGATATTAAGGCAGAAACCACTGACCTCTCTGAGGCTGAGACTAATAGATTAAACTTTGTCCATGGAGAGCTCAAGAAAATTTGGTTTCAAGAAGAAATCAAAGCCAAGCAAAGGTCTAGAGATAGGAACATTAAGGAGGGTGATAGAAATACTGCTTACTTCCATGCAGTAGCTAACCAGAGGAGGAGGAAAACCCTCATTCACTCCCTTGATGGCCCTAATGGCCCTGTTACTGAGGTAGATGAGATGCTGAAAGTGGCTAGTGACTTCCACAAAGACTTGTTTAAGAAAGAAAACCCTTATGGGTTCTCTCTATAAAACAATTTTTTCTCTGCTTCTGAAAAAGTATCTCCTGCTGAAAATGAGCTGCTAGAAGCCTCTTTTTCAGAGACAGAGGTGAAGGAAGCCATTTTTAGCTCTTATCCTGATGGGGCTCCTGGTCCTGATGGGATTCCCTTCTTGTTTTACCAGCATTTTTGGGACTTGCTGAAAAATGATCTCTTAGACCTTTTCCAAGCTTTTCATAGAGGAGAGTTGGATCCAGCAACTTACTCATGGGGGGTCTGTTGGGGTCAAGTTAAATAACTGTGAAAGTGATTTTTTTCCTTGCTAGTAAAGGCCTTAGGCAAGGTGACCCCATCTCCCCACTTTTGTTTAATTTAGTAGTGGACGTTCTTACTAAAATGCTGAGCAAAGCTGCTGATCATAGTCTGATTGCAGGGCTCTGTCCTGAGGTCCGCCCTGGTGGCATCATCTGCCTTCAATATGCAAATGATACCATCCTTTTCTTAGACAATGACTCCACACATGCTAGCAATCTGAAAACTGTTCTAACCTGGTTTCAACAAGTCTCAGGCATGAGAATCAACTACTATAAAGTGAACTCATCCCTATCAACATGGATGATCAGGAGTTAGCTGACTTCCTCTCTATTCTAGTCTATAATAAAGGTAACTTCCCATTAAGTACCTAGGTATCCCTCTCCATTATGATAAACTGAGGAGAGAGGATATCCAACCCCTTCTGGATATAATCATTAAAAGGATTGCTGGGTGAAGGGGCAAACTTCTCTCTTACAGAGGTAGATTGATCCTCATACAAGCTTGTTTGGCTAGCATTCCAGTGTATCTACTCTCTT